TCATGTATTTTATTCATTTAAGTCTCTGAAATAGTTTTCAAAAACATGAGCTTACTTGTACAACTAACATGTTATCTGACAGAAGTGTCACAGAAGCGCTTTCCTTGCTTGTGCAAATAAACCAAGACAAGAACAGCTCATTATTCTCCCATCTTCTGTTAAGTCCAACCTGAGTCGTAACATTCTTAACTTTCATACGGGACAGGTCTTTGCGGATGATCGTGTCTCCCACCTCACACCTAGTGAGAAACTGTATACAGCCTCTCAGAAAATGACGTAGATGATTCATCCTATTCCTTTGTATTCACTATTCATCTACCTCTCAGTTTTTCCCAGTGACAGTTATCAACAGTTTTCAGGCTGTTTCAGATTTGAAATGTGACATTCGTGACTAGCAAGTGCCCTAGAGAAAGGACTCGTGACATGTTAATATTGAAGTAAATGGAGGTGCAACAAATGACCTGCTCTCACTCCAGGCAGAGAGATCCTTCTAAAACTTACCCTCTCTTCCTTTTCCTTTAACTCACACCGAGAACTATCTTTCCAGGTGCCAGTGGTCCCTCCTCGGCTTCTGCTGGCTCAACACAGCCCATATCTGCCTTTGTACTAGTGCCACAGGCAGGTCACCCCAGGTTAATTCCCTACATGACTGAGTCCTCATACAGCATCATCCCTGTCTCTCCTCTATGGTGTGTACAGTTTTAAAAACCGACTTTCATCAACTGTTCTTCTTGCCTCCCCTTGCCATCACAAATACTATGGTGAGGGTTTCTCTCCAAATTATCCCTCGGTAAAGAGGGGGTCACATTATCCACATTCTTAACAAACTGCACACATCTATTAACTTTACTTGGAATAATGAAGTAAATGAAATATGTTCACCTGAAATACCCACTATTAATGCTAGTTTGATGTGTATAGAAGTCACATGATGGATTAGGTTGGAGACAATAAGGAAACAATAAATCGAATAAAGATGTAGGAATTATTCCTGGGGTATGAGCTCATAATCGTGAGTGCTGGATGGCATTGTAAACAAGCCTCTTAAAGATCATTTGAAAAATCAACATAATGACATGTTGTAGGTATCACAAACACACACAAAAGAAATGAAGATCAAGGATACTGTCTTTTGAATGAGTATTTGTGACAAGGGATAATAAATGCCAGTGAAAACATCCTACCCAGATTCAAAAGGGACTAAGTTTCAAAAAACTTCAATAGAAATAAAGATGGCATACTCTGGAAAACTGTTAGGTGACTCAAAAGTGGCTCTATTGAGGATCATGCTCATGTTAAATATTTTATGTGTATTAAATAAAATTACTTACAGAACATTAGGGTAGAAAACACTGTGTGACTAATTAATGCTTTATAAAATATGCTATCTTCATAAGTCTGTATAGAGAAATTAAAAATAAATACAATTTGATATTCATTTGCATTCTGAAAAGTTGACTTATTATAATTGAACTTGTTTTGTGTGCCTGCCATACTTCCCACTGGGAAAATGGGAGACCCCTTAAGTGGAGTCTCCTCATACTTGTGTTTGTTTATTAGTCATCTGGATCCCTCCCCACTCATGTATTCACAGGGTTAAGAAAACTGAGGCTCCAGGAGAGGGTGTTACATTCAAGACTCACAAAGAGTGGTTAATGGCACAGGTTGGACTAGAACCCAGGTTTCTATGTAGGTACCATGCTCCTTTCAGTCAGAGAGGGAAAGCCCAGCAACATCACAGAGATAGGACCAAGTATGCTGGGAATAGAAAGTAGTGAGGGCAGTAAATGGAGAAACTCTATAGGATGACAGGAAGAGACTAGAAAAGTTACAAGACTTTCTTTTTTCCTAAAATAACTATATTCTTTTTTTTTTTTAACTGAAAGAGTAAATACATATCATGGTAAACATGTGGTTTGGTTGCCTTTCTTCTGAGGACTAATTCTTCCCACTCCATAAAGTATTGTCAGGGATCCTCTACCATGGAATTGTGCCCTGTGACAGGAGAGGCACATGACTTGGTTGGATCCATGAGAGACTCCCCCTCTCCTGAACGTAGTTACAAATCTACCTGGGTCATGTGACCAGGAGGGGCTGTAACAGGAAAGAACAAGTCTGACTCCATATTGGATCTGTTTCTTTTACTTTAACCTTTGTATTCTATCACTTTCACTACAAGTTAATAACTAAAGGGATGTTGCCTATAGCTTAAAGAATGGCCCATCTCTGGGAACCCTGCCTCCCATGTGTGAGTGTTAAGCTAAAATACCTTTGTTGAGATCACAGAAAACATTCTGACCAGGCCCACCTGTGAATGGCGTCAGGAAAGAAGAAATTAACACATCCCCTCTGGAGTCTGGCTGGAGCCAGGAAATATTTGCAGCAACTTATTTGCAGCCTTTTTTACTCTTCACCTCTCCGTCTTTGTTCTGTAAAAGAAACTAGCCTCCAAACCCTGGCAAGATGGTTCCTGGGACACTAGTCCACCATCTTCTCGGTCTGCTGGCTTTCCAAATAACGTCACTATTCTTTGCCCCAACAACTCAGCTCTCGATTTATTTGCCTGTCATGTGGCAAGCAGTACAAGCTTGGACTTGGTAACAGGGCCAGTCAGAATCATCTGGAGAAACTCTCTTTCTCCTGGAGTTATGGAGTGGAAATAACAAAGAGTAGTGTTGCCATTGGCCACGTCTCCTGGCCACATGGAAGATCACCTTCAGTGGGTGGGAAGGAGGCCAACACTCAGAGCGAAACAGGGTCAAGAAATCTAATGAAGGACAACACCCTGCTTTGATTCACATGTTCTGGTTGTGGCGGAAAGAGTCTCCCTAGTCTTCCCAGTCATATAAGCCACTAAATTTCCCTTTTTATTCCAAATCAACCAATAGTCTTACAAGTATATCAAGGAAAACATAGACAATCAAAAGAAGAAAATAGACCCACACACCTATGGACAATTAATCTTTGACAAAGGAGGCAAAAATATACAATGCGGAAAAGACAGTCTCTTTAGCAAGTGGTTTGGGAAAAGCTGGACAGCCGCATGCAAATCAATGAAGTTAGAACACACCCTCACACCGTGCACCAAAATAAACTCAAAATGGTTTAAAGACTTAAACATAAGACAACATAAAACTTCTAGAAGAGAACATAGGCAAAACATTCTCTGACATAAATCGTACTAATGTTTTCTTAGGTCAGTCTCCCAAGACAACAGAAATAAAAGCAAAAGTAAACAAATGGGACCTAGTCAAGCTTATAAGCTTTTGCACAGCAAAGGAAACCATAAACAAAACAAAAAGACAACAAACTGGGACAAAATATTTTCAAATGATGTGACTGACAAGGGCTTAATTTCCAAAATATACAAACAGCTCATACAACTCAGTAACAAAAAACAAACAACCCAATCGAAAAATGGGCAGAAGACCTAAATAGACATTTCTCCAAAGAAGACATACAGATAGTCAATAGGCACATGAAAAGATGCTCATCATAGCTAATTATTAGAGAAATCCAAATCCAAACTGCAATGAGGTACCACTTCACACTGGCCAGAATGGCCATCATTAAAAAGTCTACAAATAATAAATGCTGGAGAGGGTGTGGAGAAAGGGAACCCTCTTTACACTATTGGTGGGAATGTGAATCGGCTCAGCCACTATGGAAAACAGTATGGAGGTTCTTAAAAAAACTAAAAACAGAGTTGCCATATGATCCAGCAATCCCACTTCTGGGCATATACCCAGACAAAACTATAATTCGAAAAGAAATATGCACCCCTATGTTCATAGAAGCACTATTTTTTTTTTTTTTTTTTTCCTTGCGTTATGCGGGCCTCTCACTGCTGTGGCCTCTCCCATTTGCGGAGCACAGGCTCCGGACGCGCAGGCTCAGCGGCCATGGCTCACGGGCCCAGCCGCTCCGCGGCACGTGGGATCCTCCCGAAACGGGGCACGAACCCGCGCCCCCTGCATCGGCAGGCGGACTCTCAAGCACTGCACCACCAGGGAAGCCCCATAGAAGCACTATTTACAATAGCCAGGACATGGAAACAACCTAAATGTCCATCGACAGATGAATGGATAAAGAAAATGTGATACACACACACACACACACACACACACACACACACAATGGAATATTACTCAGCCATTAAAGAGAATGAAATACTGCCATTTGCAGCAACATGGATGGACTTAGAGATTATCATATTAAATGAAGTCAGAAAGAGAAAAGCAAATACTATATATATGATATCACTTATATGTGGAATCTGAAATACGACACAATGAACATATCTATGAAACAGAAGCAGACTCACAGACATAGAGAACAGATTTGTGGCTGCCAAGGGTGGGGGTGGGAGGTACTGGAAGTCTGGGATGAGCAGATGCAAACTATTATATATAGGATGGATAAACGACAAGGCCCTACTGTATAGCACAGGAAACAATATTCAATATCCTGTGATAAAACCATAATGGGAAAGAATATGAAAAAGAATACATACATGTATAACTGATTCAGTGCTGTAGAGCAGAAATTAACACATTGTAAATCAATAAAATAAAATTTTATTTAATAAAATTTTTTAAAAGAGAGGAAGAAGAAAATAGAAATCAACCACAGTCATTACTTGGAATGAAAACACACACACACACTCACATGTAGAAATACACTGTTTAATAAAAGATTTTTTTTTTTACTAACAATATATTGCAAATATATTTTCATAGGAGACTTCACTGCTTTTGTCAACTCTAATACTAACCAGCTGCATAAGAATGAGCCATCTCTTAAAATCTCTGGTTATCAGTTTTTGCACCTGTCAAGGGAAGAATCTGGAAGTAGACTGCTAAAATCCAGCAAGGTTGGATAGGTAAGTGAGCCCTTTGGATGAAATATTTTAAATGCCAGGTAGAGCAGTTTGGGCAGCAGTGAACTACGGCGGCCTCCTAAGCCACAGACCTTCTCAACTCCATTAATTTTTTTTAATATTTAAAATTACTTTATCATTATGCACATTGAAGGAAAGCATTATAGACAGCAGAGTTCTTTCCCACCATAAAATTTACACCCATTTAATTAGCTAGAAACACTAGCTTGAAGAGGTACTGATCTGTTCCATTTGTAATAGTTTCTCTACAGCAAACAATTGTCATATGGTTGGAACACGTTGAAGAAAATATTAACTCACAAGTCTTTTTTTGTTGAGTCTCAATCACCAAGAGTTCAAGGGACTTTGAGAGAACCCTGGTGTCCTGCATGGCCTGATGAATGCATTAAAATCAAGCCGTGTATTCGTATTCTGAAACTACTCTTAGCTCCATACAAATGTTACTTGCGTTGTGGAGCTCATGTTTCCCGTACTGGCACTTTGACATCTGAAGAACATTTTGTCATGAAAGTTTCACACCAATTTTGTTTTGTTCTTTCTTCATTAGCCCCTGTGCTTCCTTTTCCATTTTCTTCCTTTGTTGTTCTGCTGCTCTCTTTTCTCTCTCTTCTGCTGCCTCAGAACTTCTTTGGCTTGCCAGGCCCCATCGTCTTCTTTTTCCCATGCACTGGTATTTTCCTGCCAGGTATCCAAGTCACCTAATTCAGGAGACTGATGAATAAAAGGCATATCTTGTGTAACTGCTAGTCTACTAGAGAAACCCCTGCTAGCATCTGGGATGCCAAACTTTAATGGTTCTCTGTTCTTAATAATGATTTTCTGGGTTTTCCTTATAGTTGGTGTCGTGTCCTTAAAATAGTCAGGTTCCAGTTGTTCTAAAGCAGTTTGCTGTGTTGCCACATTCCCATTCCCTCCTTCAATCTTTACACTTGTGGGTGCATCTTCATCCCAGGAAGCCCACTCTTCAACATCTGTCTGCTTAGGAACTGATGAATAATCAACTGTAGTTGGCAAAGTTCTTTGGTCTCCACTTAATTTCCGTCCTCTGCCAGGTCTGCGTATTAATCTCTTTTGGAATGAGAATACTGTTGCTAGGCAGGTACAAACTTTAAATAACCGAAACTGTGTGATACCCATGGTGGGAATCAAAACCTGCCCCTCCCCCTCCCCGCCCGCCCGGCGGAGGCTCCCAGCTGCTGCGGGCTGCGCGCGCGCGCGCACACACACACACACACACACACACGCGCGCGCACACACACGCACACACACGGCGCGCGCACGCGCGCTGCTGGTCGCTTCCTCGAGCTTGCGCTCCGCCGGCTCAGTCCCAGCCCCGCTCATTCAAAGCTGGGCGCGCGGTCCGTCTCAGCCGCCGCTGCTGCCCCGCAGCTGCCATGGCCGCCCCCTCGTCGGGAAACCCTCCCCGAGTCCCTCCTCCTGCCTCTCCTCCTTCGCCCTCGAAGGCGGCTCTCGGTAGTTCAACTCCATTATTTTATATTCTTTTTCTTTTAGTTCTTATAGCACTGTTTGAAATTTTAAGATAGTCCCCCAAACACAACTTTACTTTCTTCCTATTTTCCTGTCATTTCCTGAAAATAATACATTTGTTTTTCTTATCATATGAAGCGAGCCTTGTTGTATACAAGCCACATATAGGAGGTTGTAGCCTCGGCTTCTGAAGAGGGGAAGATATGAAAGAAAACCCATGACTCTTCCCGCTTCCGTGGACTTAGGGCCATGCTCTTATTTAAGATCCTCCTTCTAAATCCCGTTGACAGGACCTCACCAGCTGATACTGTGGCTTGCCTCGCATCTAATAATATCCTGGATCTGGATTTCCTTTCAGATGTTTCTAAATTTGATTCCTCTTTGTTTCAGCTGCAGAGCAATCCCAGAGGAAAGGGCAAAGAAGGTTATGGGCCCTTTTCACCCCTGGGAATCTTAGAAACCCAAGAAGGGATTCTCCCAAGAAGGGACTCTTCAGGATAAAAGATCTCCCTGTGGGGAGATGACTAAACCCCTTTATCTGGCGTGTGGCATTTGTGCCTTCTTACGGTAAATTCCTTTAGGGACGTGATTTCTAACAGCCTTTCCTGGAATCGGTGGATGCTGTCATGTACAACATACAACCTGAGAAGAGCAATTCAGACACAGAACTGGAGTCCATAAACAAATCAGCTCCCGTGTCCCTCTGCCACGGTCTCTTCCCTATCTCTGTGGCATGGTTTTACTTTGTCACAGGCCGCGTTTCCCAACACAAGTGGTTTCATTTGGGTTAACCGCTAATGCTCCAGTTGCTTCAATGACATCCCATCATTATCCTTAGACTAGCGGCTTTTAAACATGATTTCTTAGCACTGGTCTGCAGGTCAACACCGAGATGTCCTGTGCCCCTCAACACTCAGAGGCTCCCACTTAGGGAAGGTAAGAAGAGAACCCGTACTGTGAGCACCCTCCAAGGGTCCAGGCACTCTGCTTGGCATTTATGTTCAGTATTTTTTTTTTTTTTTTTTTTTGCGGTACTCGGGCCTCTCGCTGTTGTGGCGTCTCCCGTTGCGGAGCACAGGCTCCGGACATGCAGGCTTAGCAGCCATGGCTCACGGGCCCAGCCGCTTCGCGGCATGTGGGATCTTCCCGGACCAGGGCACGAACCCACTTCCCCTGCATCGGCAGGCGGACTCTCAACCACTGTGCCACCAAGGAAACCCTATATTCACTATCTTACTTCATCATTATAACCATATAGTCTGTAAATATTATCACTTTTTTTTTTACAAATAAACCAAATCTCAGAGAAGTCACTTTCCTCTTGCACATCACCATGTCACGTGGGACATGAAAGAGCTACAATGAAAGCCCTCAGCTCTGACTCTTCCCAGATGAGACCAGAACCTTTCAGAGAAATCCCTAGAGGAAACAGGAGAACAGAGAAAAGATCTGTGGTTTTTCTTTTCCTCACAGAGTAGATCTGTCACAGCTGATGAATCACAGTTGGTTCTCGTGTACCTGTTGACACTCGTTTGCTCGAGGTCTGTTGCGAAAGATGGGGTAAATTGAGATGGAGGTGGAAAAGGAGCAGGGAATTGGGGAGCCTCATTCGAGCTCCTAGGTGCTGGTGGATCCTTCTGACCTATGACACACAATCCTGGGGGCCAGTCTTCAAGTTCTTCTCCTGGGAGACTTAAAGACAAAGCTACTTGTCTGAGCTGAGCAGCTCTAGGCAGAGGAAGGACAGCAGGAAGTTTGTCAAAG